TCACTGTGGCTCAATTCGTTATTTGCACGGTAATGGAAAAGAAGAGGGAATTCACAAATATGAGGGCACAATGGAGGAGGGTTCAGTTTCCGTTGATGAAAAACATGATATAGTCAAAACGAGGGAGACCAACACGATCAGATTCCATAGCGGGACACTTACTAAGCACTTTTACTTTTCTCGGGAAAAATCACGTATCAACATAATGGACTGCAACCCTTGACGCCTAACTGATGAAGTCCTCGTTTCTTTCACGGATATTAAGTGTCGTACCGTGCTGCGCGAACATTCAGACATGAAATATGAAAACAGTATAAAAGCTCGTGGAGTAAATTTAAAAGTCTATCTGAAGTTGAGAAGTGCTCGCCTAGCTGTGGAAGGACTGAAGAGGAGAACCGTGTGGGTATGGTGGAATTCTGGGTGAATTCCTCGGTGATAAATTGAGGATGCCGCATGCATGTCGCCACCAATTATTTGACATTAGACGAGCTCCAACGCAGTAATCATATGGTGAAATGTGTAGGAAAGTAGCTTTGTAGTTCCAAATCAGGTGTACAACCACTGCAATGACGGGCAACCAGTTCAAGTAAAAGTGACCTTATATGTTTTGGAGTACATATGGGCTTCAGACGTCAGGCGTTTGGGGATCGAAGTCCAGCACAGCCAACGGTATTCAGTGATAATGGGCTCCAGTAAGCGCAATTTTCGAGTCTCCTTGCCCTGTCAGAGCAAGACAAGCAGTTCAAATTGGTGTGATGTGAATACAAGAGTCTACGGAGCGCTGCTACGTAGAGTATACGATGCCTCGGAACGACAAAGTAGTTGGACAGTTTTCGCGTACGAACCCATCAGCGCATTGGCGTACAGCTGCTAAATTCTTCGCTTGTTAATTAGAAGCCTCGGGCTGAACTTCAATTCAACGAGCTGTGTTGATCTGTATCAAATATCAGTGACTGCCGGCCTACAGCGTGTGCGTCGGTATGCGTGCAGAGGTAATATTGATTGTTAGTCCGATACATTCCGAGTGTCCTGAAGCAGAGTGACTAAAATAGTTATTTCGTGTAGTCCACAGTGGAAACCTTGTTCTATTTATGTCAAGTCGCTTTAAAGTGAACATATTACTTTCAAAGTTGAGCCATGGACTAATGGAACGTGTTTGTGCCTATGCATTTCCTTCTTGAATTCAAACAATGACTGGAGTGAATGGACAATCTTGAAACCTCTGTTCAACAATAACATACTCTCACGACTATGGAGAAGACCTGTAGGCAGCAAATAAGTCGTTCCATAGAGCAATTTTCGAAAATAACTTCAACACCTCCATCAGTTTCAAATTCCCCAAAAAGATCCCAGAATCTTTGGAAAGTGAGGCTGCCCAAGGCTATTCAACAGTTCTCGGCATTTTTTGGGTGGTGAAGAGATTTATAAGTAACACACCTGATTTTCATTTGACGGATCAACCTATGCTGAGAAGTAGTAGAGCTGCTTTTTTATTGTTGAAGAACATCAACAGTACGCCCCGTGAGTTTAGAATTTATGCTGGAGATGCTACAATCTGTGTGACCCCTGTCGCGGTTGGCTATTTTCTCATCCGGTGGATCCCTTTTGACATCCAGTGTGAAGTTGCTCTGTGGTTTATCACTGTCGCAAAGTGGTAAGGAGCACCGCTTACATTATTCGTCACAAAGGAGCAGACCCTATCGGGTAAAATAGTCTGCTGAACTGAAAATTTACACTCCCATCGAGTTCCGCCGAAAAGAAGTGGTGGGATGCACTAGCGTGTATTTCTCAAGATTCATCTCCTACTTTCCTCCTAATCTTCAGTGTCGGTTCTTTAGTTGCGACCATCAGATTTCGGTCGGCCACTTGTGCCGAAATAACTAGAATGTGCTTCTGTACCGTTCGTAGTTTTAAGTAGAAGTTCTTTTCCATCACTCAGACCGCCAAAACATCGGAAGCACGCAGGTTCGCGATATAAACTTGGCACTGGCATCGGCACTTGGGGGAGAAGCTTCAATAACTGGAACCCCGAACCTTCTGGGTGGGAGTCCAGACAGATCACCTCTCAGCTAAGTCAGGTGATGGACTTAGATGTTATCAAGAAGGATGTGTGCCCGAATTTTTCTGAACCTCGAGATGATGCCTACTGATTATTCTCAACTTGAGATAAACAGCTGTGAACTGCTTCTCAGCTTTTCCCTATATGTACGGTGAAATCCAGATTTAAAAATTTCACGATAACTAGCCAAACAAGAGAACACCGCTAAGATATATAACTGAATACTTCTGTCGTGTAACTCTGATAAATCAGAGTAGTCATGCAGCCGCCTTAATAAGTGCAAGAGCGAAAACGCGGAGACAACCTTCAAAGAATGTACCACCTTTGGGAACCAGAATTTGTTGTGCAAATTGGTGCAAATATTGAGTAACCACGTTGTCGTTGGCTTGGATCAGTGTATCAACCTGCTAACCTGCAGCCAACACAACATTCATGATGGAATCCATCAGGTTGTGTTCCATACAATAATCAACAACTTACGGTGAGTATCATTTTCGATATTTACGATGAGCGAAACGGGAATCCAACGCAGATGGTGAACACATAATCTTTACTCATGCTGAAGTTTACCACAGATCACCTGAATTTAAGCCGTGTTAAAAAAACACCTTTGGCCACAACATGGGCGAAAGCCACTCACCATACTGTAATCCCGGGAAGCAACTCCACAAAGTAGTTCACAGCGATCACTCCATCCCAGACTTTCCGAATTCACATGAGGAAGCTACTCTCCTACTTCCTATGCAATCCAGCGTTTCAAGATTTTACCACCCTCACTCAAGGGGAGACCAGGAGTCAGGAAACATTATCCGTCAAAATACAGAACCCAACCTGTTTCAAGCGCTAAACGGTAATTGAGTGAATTCGTTTACCAAGCGCAAGTCAACTCGGTGAGGACTGCTAGACTCTTCAAAGTTATCCCAAACTAGATTATTATCAACCTTGAAAATCAGGTCAGAAAAATGCTACTACGCAGAAAACCTTGGGTTTATGGTAAGTTGGAATGGACGACTCAACTCTCTCCTATATCTATGTTTCGGCCGTACCATGTGGACATCATTCAATGTGGAAAGATTGCTTGTCTATGTGCAATGTGATTTCATTGGACAGTATTTCAAATACTCCTGAGAGCAGCATGCAAATAAATAACCTTTTTTGGTCAGACGTACCTTCTGACGCCATTGTATGGCCAAAATCTTGGAGGTTTTTGGACGTTGAAAAATGCATTAATGGAAGTATGGTCTTAAAACTAGCTGAGCATATGACGGAGGATGATAACCGAGCATTGTAGGGTGTTAGATTGCTGGATGGTTGCGTATGATTCCTAAGGTTTCTTTAGACGCCAACTTTAGCTTAGACTATCACCTGTGTTAACAGGAGCTAGAGGGTGGACAAAGACCCACGTGGGTGCTTTGAAAGGCAAAATAATGACAACCACGAAACAGAAAAACATGCCGGTAAACGCCATTCAGTTAGTTGCTCGAAGGTTTGCTTCGGTAAAACAACCGGATGTAACCGCTCAGCTGTAACACCCTTTCGGCGCCTAGCTTCCATGCCACCCGAATAAAGCACGAGAATCGGAATACCATCAGGTTGCCAAGCCTAGGCAGCGGGAGTCGAGAGGCAGATATCGCGTTCGAAACAAGGAGCTTCCGGTCAGTAAATTCCCCCTCTAACCACTGAGCTGTCCCCCCTCCCCCACAACCGGATGTTCTTGTGGAAAATACAGAGGAGAGTGAGGATCGCACCATAAACATTAGCAGATAAACCTCATAGTGCAGCACTATACATGTTGCTGGAAGAAACATTCCTGCAATTTTCACGACTGTTATATTGGTAAGCTACCGCAGAAATGCTCTCGAAAAGAGGTCTCTCCTCAGAAGTAAGAAGCTCTTTGCAAATGAAGCATCACTTCAGGCATCTTCAAGAGGATTGCTTTAGTCTATTTGAACGGAGTTCTGGTGGAATAACATACGGCTTTCCATCAGATTCTTAGCATTCAAGAGGACTATGTAAGGACCAAACAGGAGTCCACCGGTCACTCAATGAATTGCAGCAACACTAATTCTGCTCTCTTCGCCTTTGGTTCGCGCCGCCCAAGGGTGTCGTAATTCTGGTAGTAAACTATACGTTTGCGTTGATTGATGAAGTATTAATAATTGAACACCAATGATAAAAATTCAGTCGTCTGGTTCGATAATTTGGACAGGTTTCGCCAGACGGTTTTATTGAACCAAGCCTCCTAACTTAGCCATCTACTAGGAGGAAGGTAGGCAGCCAGTTGACTAAATCTAGGAGAGTTAAGAGGGTGGTGGACCTACCTGAACCTAGATGATCATACTCGAAGTAACACCTGTACAACATACACTGAGTTCGACAAACCCCAAGAGTAATTTGGTGAATAAGATTGGGTTTCACCGTAATTTTTGAAGAAATTGCAGCTAATGGCCTTTCTTGGTCTTACAGTAGAATAACCCTGAAAGCTTATTCAGAGACTCGTTCATCAATATTTGACAAGGTGTACATCTGAATGATCGAATAATCAAAATTACGGAGCAATACATCAGCCTTGCTATGAGCAGCTCTTTTTGACATACCATTTAATTTTTCGTACTTTATCATCACGTCCTATCTAGATGAGAATATTAAAACGGCCAGACAAAAAACGCAGTGTCAAGATGACAATGTGACTCAACATCAAGTTGAAATGCCTCATGGAGTGTTCGAAATGGCATGAAACGCTAAACGTTGACAGCCCTCTGCGAGAGGTCGGGTAACCTGAAGAACTTAAAAGATCCAGAGAGTGTTAACATATGTTTAAGATAACATATTTTTATGCCACGGTGCTTTACGGTTTGTCTAGTTTATACGGTTCAGTTTGGCTTCATAAGACACATGGATACACAGCTCGCACTGACATTTTTACAACGTCGAAGTGTGTAGGGGCATGATTTTCATTTTTTCGAAAAATATGTGACTACAAATGTGTTCACATGAACAATGTCGTCATGCTCAGAATAGCTGCAGTTCGAAAGTAACGTGGTCAAAAATAAACGATATTAAGAGACCGAGCGTAAAGTAACGAGATAGATCAAGTTGAAACTGAGATTCCACGAATAGATGTTTATGTAAAATCATTGCGATTCGGTAGACGGTACTTGGCGACCCTGGGAAGAAAGGCATCCCATATGGATGGTGAGGAAGAGGATGTATACGTTGCTGCGATCGTCATCTTTCCAGATAACTGACGCACGTTCGGCGAATAGAATTAATCCACCTGGAATGAGACGGCAAAGAAGTTGAACTTAGCAGACCAACAACACGTACCATTGTGAGGTGGCAAAAAAATCATTCCTGGGCAGATAATTTGCCAAGCCTTCTTATTCAAAATATCGGTTCCTTGCAAGAACGAAAGTCATTATAAGAGTGTCGCGAAATATAATCTACAGTTAACTTGAAAACCTCCATGCATCGTTAAACTAAACAGAAAGGTATGGAAGGCCCCCACCTATGGCAAGAGGTACGCAACCTGAGTACACGAACCGGACAGTATGAATCCGACTATAAGCGTTCAAATGCTCCAGCTTCAGCGTTCAGGATGTTCAGCTTTGGTATTATGTATCCTTAGATATGCTTGGAACATGTGAAACGTGCGTTTCGGAGTCATATTACGGAGCCAGCAGCTACAGGCCGTTACAGGCTTTCTTCACGCAAGCCTTTGCTCTGGATCGAGACTTTGGAGACGAGGCACACTAACGGCTAGTCACGCCGAAGCGGATAGCACCTGACAGTGATGCTTTTGCAGCTGAGCTACTGCGTTCTTTGATCAACAGCCTAGACTATTACACTATCCAAAAAGGGTAATAATCCTACGTCACGAACTTTCCAGACTATCACCTTCAACCCTGGATTATGCTTCGGTTATTCTCCAAATTACCGATGAGCCGAACTGAAGCAGTTATGATCAACACACCTTCAGTTTGCTTGTGGATGATTTACGAATACATTTTACACCTGACGAACCAAATAAAAAAAACCAAACAAATAGAACACAAATAAACGACAACCGGAGTTCTGGTCATTATAAAACGGAAATTAGTGTTTTACTACCTTTAAAATCATTTCGGGACAACAATGAGATCACATTTGCCAAACCGGAAATCGGTGGGTTGAAAAACTACACTTCAAGTCAAATTAAGCCTAAGGTGATGGTAGTGCTCATCTATCATGTCGCGGAATTCAATCCATTTCGTCATGTGTTTATAGTGTCTGTGACAGGGGGATAATGGTTACCACGACTGTTGTTGTTGTAAATTTTTGATCAAGATGAAGTCTGGATAAATCTCACCTTAGAATTACAGCATCTGTGTTTCATGCCTGAAGCAAAAAATCCGACTACGAGAAAGATAAGAGTGTCCTCAAGGTGCACTTGAAAGATCTTTACTTACTACCACGCACTAATCAGTCAAAGTACGCAGTTGCCATAAGACAGCCTATTTGCTTCGTGTGGGACAGTATACCAGCATGCTTCACGGCACTTTCAAATCAATTGTTAAAATCGACACAAAGCTAGCCCACACGACGTTACCGTGGAAGTTGAGGGACTATTAAACTACTTTGATAATTGCTTTCACTCCACATCGGGTATCCAAACAACATGGATGCAAACCCCGTTTGGTTGCGTGATTTTTATGGGAAAAATTCGATTCGAAAGTCTGGTTCTTTCACAGTGGATACCTTTGAGAGTAATCTACAAAAATGAGAGCCATACACGTGTTCAGCAGCACCATTGAAACAAGTCTGTCTCACAAACGCTTTTCATTTCAACAACCAGGTCTTCTTACTTTCATTTTTTTTTCAAACTTCGTCCAATCCAGCTAAATGATTATTCATCGACCGATGTAGCAAACGGAAACGTCGATAAGTTTCCAACGCCGATTTAAATTTCTATCTCGCCCTCCGTCACATTCCATGGTGAGCTCCGATATACGCAAATAAGGTGGTCAAGACTGGTCGGGTCATGTTCATACATAAAGATCAATAATCCAAGCTAGTAATGTGTACCGGTATTAGCCAGAAAAATCGCCAACCGAAGCTAGACGGCTACCAAATACCATATTGGTAGGTGTGGTGCGTCCTGAATTCAGTGGAGAAATGACTGTTGTTTGTGGGTAGTGGGGTTAAGAAGACCAGAATGTTTCTCCCTCAGTGAGGATCGGTGTCTTCTCCATCAACAGAATGGCAAAGTCCTCAAGAACGCAAGGCCTTAGAGTTCCATCCAACACGACATTGCAAAGTCATCGGATATGTAGAAGATCCGTTTGTTTCAATTCGTCATGGATAATCATGATTCACGACCAGTTGCGTGATAAACACGGACAAGGGAACTAGCGCGCACATAGCGGTTCTTTGTGGATTACTGCCACACACTAATTCCAAACCACGTGCTGTGCATCTGAGTTAAATTACAGTGTACCAGAAATAACTTCATCTTCCATCCTCCTGTGTGAAAAAACCACACGTTCAATTTTGGTTTAAGCCAAGCCTGTAGGTACTCAACGGTGGGGTTGATCATAAATATTGCTTACTAACAAACATGATTCATCAGCTTCAGTGGTGGAACAGAACAAGAAAGAGATCAAACACAGCCAAGTAACTGAACCTATGGATCTGGTGGGTGGATTAAGGTCAAGTCAAACTCACCACCCCAGAATCTCGTGAAAACACGAAGACAAAAATAGATTGGTGCCGTTCCACCCATCCGACACAAATAATTTGCGAAATGCGCCTGCTGCTAAACTCTGGAGTGAAAACTCCGATTCTTAAGTAATCACCAATCGGATTTCATTGGAATACATACTAATTCCCGTAATCCGGCTCAATAACTGTCCCATTTTTCTGACTTCTTTTCCACCACCATTACAACCTACTTTAAGCGGTCTTCTTGTGTACCTGCTAGTGATTTAAACAGGTCTGGTTGCGTTTATCCAACTTCCAACGGCTTATGTAATTCTGTGCATCTACCGACAAAACTGGAGACCCAACTGGACCACTCGTTTGCTGAAAAATACTGATACGTGGATCGCTCATAGGCGCCCTACCGACACGAATTCCTACGATAACTATGTTGAATCTTCTTCCGCAAGCCCACACCACGGTTACATAGAGTTTTGGATCGTGGAAACTTGCACACAAACTAAAAAAGGCTTTGCTGCCAAGGTAACTTTAGGCTACCAGCGCCTTCTCCATTTTACATGGCTCCAATACTTCAGCATGTCAGTATCTTAGTTACAGACTTAATTTTCACTTAAACCCACGTTGCCTTGTTGAAATCCTACACACTGGCGCTGCCGAGTCCCTCCTTGACTAGTTAAGCAGCTTCAAAGTAAAAGAAGTGGGCTCACAGAAGAGGTTGGCGCGCACAGGTCGAACGGCTCACGTGAGTAGTCGTGCTGGAACTCAATGGTCTCGATAAGATACGTGTCAATGATGGCATCGGCAGAAAAAGCTTGCGTGTACTGTGATGGGCCTTAGTTAGCTCTGCGGTTCACAGTGAAGTGCTTCTGGCGTGAATGTAATGAGCGGGGCCATTAGATGAACAGGCGGGCACCGTCCCATTCTCAATGTCTCAAAACTTCAAGACGTTATCCGTCCCCTCCCACCCGACAAACGTTACGACTCGTTAAGTCGCTATCAACTTATCATCGTTCCCAGTGTTCCCTCCCCCAGAACTACTAATTTGAAGTACCCGGCTTCGTCCCCATTAATTAATCTTATTCGATTTCACACATAAATGTAGTTGCTGCAAGAGCTCGACGTGTAGGTTTTCATGCTCCGAGGCAGGCGACGCCTCTGCATACCTCAACTACGAAAATATAATTAGATATAAACAGTTTACATTTATTTCAAATGTTAAAAAGAGAACGCTGAAAATCGGGAACGCATAGATCACGTGGAAACAAACGTGCTCATTGTTTCTCCTGAAGTGGTGGACTTATTCCATAAAGGTCGTAGCAGGAAATTGATGCTACCGACCAAAGGTGACTAATGTAGGACTTTGATATATGGATTTACATTATTTTGCATTAGATTTTCTTGGTGTGCAATGCGAAGACGCACGTGAAAGAAATTCGAGCAGCGCATACCAGGTAAACGGTGCCGACGCTGACCGCCAGATACGATTATTGTGACCCCATTGAACAATTTTTAAAAACAATTAAGGTGAAGCGATATGTATTAGTCCCAAAAGGGCCCGACATCCTTCCCAGGCATGAAGGTTAAAGATGACAGCCCTATCTTGACCACAGTCGAACCAAGCACTGGTAACACTGTCACCGTATGAATGAATCTACCTTGACTGTGGGAGTGATCAATTTTAGTTGTTACGGGCGACTACTGGACACCACATACACAGAACCGACGTACCTTCTTCCAAATGAATCAACTATAATATCTAAATCTAACGCAAAGCCCAACGTTTCTAGACCATCCGGATCAACTGTACACTGAGTAACTTGGCTCAAAATTTCACTGCAGAATCGTTCATACTAATTAGTTAGATTGGACCGTAAAGAAAGCTGTCCATATATTCTAACTTCACACAATGGGCCCACTAGGTGCACTGCACTGGGTTTCCCATGATGTAATCACAAAATAGCATCATGTAAATAAAGATATTGCTTCCGGTTGAAACAGTCCTTCAACCAGTGGGCGACTAGCGGTCATCAAATCAGACATCCAAGAAATTGAATCGAAAAAAATCATCTCCGTATGTCTCAGTGAATAATTCAGCCACGGCTAGTCAGCCGATAGAAAGACATAGGTTCGTGTAGCTGATGACTTGACATAAAAAAATTGACGGGAATGAAAGAATAAAGTGGACACAACGGACTTCAAGACCTCAGATCCATGATACCGGTTGTTTTGAAGGGCTCCCAAAACCTCGTCACTTACTCATTGCTCGGTTTGATACAGTTGGTTTTGAAAGAGTTAGGTGTGTGCCATCGTAATTAGACTGAGGACTCTTCCCGAATCTCATGTGGATGGCTACTACAACGTACAATAAATGCCTCGTGCAATTAAAGAATTCACCCATCAAGTAGGAGCAACCTTATGAACGCAAAAGGATCACTAATTCTTGCTTTCGTCAAAGCAGACAGACATTTACGAAATACTTCAGCCAAAAGAATTACAACATGTACAGTTTTCACGCTCGAATATTTTTCCCATCATGAATCATGCTTTCAGAAAAATATCACTGTTGTCTGCTGAACACTGCAGATTGGCAGTGACTTAGAAAGTGACATGAAATCTAGGCAAAGAATACTCTGAGATAACAATTTTAACGGGAGTCAGAATAAACTCAATAATAGCAGCAACTTACCTGGTCCGGATTTCAATGGAGGGAGCCTCGAAATAATGCGCTAAACAGTCGGTGTTCATAGGGAGCAAGATAAATCCCAATCTATTGCGCAATAACGCGAATACTGTTGGAGAAACTGAGGCTATTTGTTTCGCAAGTTCATTTTGTGTAAGATGGGGATTCTCGGAAAACTTTGATTCCCTTGTGTGGTAGCTGGGTTTTGTCCACCGAAAAGTGCTGACATGCAATAGAGTAGGGAGCGTTTGGCTATGCTTGAGAGTACTCAGTTGCTCTCCTTTCTGTTCATTTGAACAAATCCCGGGTTGTTTGAGCGCGGCCTCTATGACCGATTTATTTGGTTTCGGTGTCAGTGGTGGAGGTTTATGATTACGATAGAGTGGATTAGCTATTTTCGAAGGATATTCAGTATCATGCGCCTTATTCATCTTTCGAGACGGAGTGGACAAAGCAGAATCATCAGACGACAAGGAATTCGGCGAATTCAACAAACAGCGCAGGGAGAAGAACCGAGGTAGTGTGGCGCTGGAAGCAAGACGTTTTCGTTCAGCATCGGCATGCACGTAGTCCATGTAGAATAGCCGCGTACCGATGAGTGGAAGCTGGTCCTTTGCGCGTCTGTCTGCACGAGCAGCATAAACGGACAAAAGTGTATCTTTGCCAAGTGAACAGAATACACGAGAAAGACATGCAGTATGGTGGGGAGATACGACACGCTTGGATTGGAGAGGTTTTAGTGATGATGCGTCGGACGCTGGCACGCCTAGTGTATCTGTCACAGAATTAGAGGAATTGGTCCTGTAGGGAGTTGAAGCATTATCGGTTTGTTGTATGTCGTCATTCTGGAGGTCGTCTCGTAGCGCAGCTAAAGACAGATTATCCACACCACCGATATCCGTCGAGCGTGGCTTCAGCGTTACGAATACACACTGCGAACTGGCTTTGGTCGCACGGCTGAAGGGTTTCAAATCCCACATGCCATTAGTGTATCGACACCAGAGTAAGTGGCCGGTTTCGGTAGTGGAAGGTTCCTATGGAGTGTAAAAGACGGACGGGAACGTCAAAATAAGAGTATCTCGTTATGCTGTGGCACACCAAATATCAACGGAAAGGAGATGAACAAAATGGCAAGATAAGATTTCCCGCTTAAAGTTGTGAAAAACAACGCAAGGGAGCAAAAATGACACAAAAGGCAACAAATGGATTTTATGAAGCACCAAGGAGGATACGCAAACAGGCAAAGGATTAACAACATGCAGTTGGTTCTATTCTAAGTTGAAGTTTTTAACATATAACCAGTATCCTTTTCACCGGGGTATCAACTTTTTCAAAGAGGGACTGACTTTTAAGTCGCTGATATTCTGGAAGATTCCCTTCAGTTTGGGATGAGTGACACCACTTTTGTTACTCAGTATGTTATTCGTATGTAGTCCCGGAAACTTCGCACAGTTGTATGAACTTAAAGGTATCAATATTGTGGGTTTTCTGCTTGGGTTGTCTGCTCACGTGAACACCCTCGAGAGAGCATCAGAATGGAACTTCCATCTTTCACTCAGATTACCGGGTATTTCGATGAGTTTTATGTTGGTTGGCTTCTATATATGCTGAGGTTTTTAGAGCAGTTGACCCACAGACACTCCGTACAGTGTGGACAACTCCATACGCACCATTTCAGATTCTGTAAATCAGAGGAGGTGCATGCATGTGAGTTGCGTGATAACTTCGCTGAATGAGTCAATACAATCCAATTTCAAGATCCAATGATAGTTACTGACGCAAAAAGCACTGTGTGGACAAATAGGATGCTTTGACAGATTTGTTTCCGGATACGTAAACGGAACAACGTGAAGCGGTTACGTGGTACACTGCGGCCTTTCTGGACAAGCGAAAATGAACCGAACGTTCACTTCAGAATGTTTACGACCATTCAGGCTATGAATATTGATCCTTGTGGTGAAACGACAACCGCTGCAACGGTTCTGCAACGCACACACATGACGAAGACGCCTGGTAGTGACGAGAACCATGTTCACTGCCATGTGAACCCGAAACTGAGGTTAACAAGTAAATAAAACAATCAGGTTCAAGAGTGGTTATTGTTTTAGCCAGATAAGCTATCTATTGAGAAAAAGGTTGGAAAATCAAAGTAAACTGATGGCGAAGTATCTGAAGTATTGAGATTAAGTAGAATTCGCTCGAGGGCTTACTGAAGCTTCGAACAGCACGGGTAATTTCTGAGGAAGTTTGCTGTCCGCACACATTTTCGATACTGTAGAGTTGTGCACCGCTATTCACTCAGTGGATTTAGTCGCATCTTATTCCGTAGAACGGATGGTTCAGTAAGCTGGTACGAATAGTATGCAGTGAGGTAGGGCTTCACTAATTCTGCTCACTATTTACCATACCATTCTGCCACTTCCAGTCAGTAATCATGTTCAAATCGCGGTAGTTGTGGACAACAGTACGGTGTTGAGACCAACAATTAAATATAGGGCAGCCATTTCGTGATCAGGCTCATCGTCCCAAACAGTTGCATTCCTGTTGGGTTTGAACTCCGGAAACCGATAGTAATTGTATCATTAGATACAGGGGGTATGATTTCAAGATTATGTCCCCTTGATTTGTTTACGTCATGAGGAGAGTAGGGAATTTCAGTCTTGATTTTGCCCCATACCGAAAAGCTAAGCAAAAAACGGGCCAACAATGCCCAGAGCGAACTGATGTATCAACCTAAACTTCGAGCTTCATACAATTAGTGTACAAACTTGTATCATAGCATGGGTGAGATCAAGCTGGGAAAAGGTTCCGCTGGCTTCTCACGCGACCAAGATTCTTTAACTGGTTACTAGACATACCAACTATCCAAAATGGTTCTTTCCCAGGCAAATGTGCTCTGAGCTTATACGCGCAGAAGTGAATTTCGCAATGGTTTACTGAATGGTACAGAAAGTAAAAACAGGATAAGGACATATTCGCAAAGCACTACTCATAAGGTTGCCGAAAATTCTCCGACAGCTTACGACCAATTTCGCTCTTCTTGGGGCTCATCAGGTAGGCGCAGTTCCAGAAATTCCGTCAACTTTATGTTCTACTTGAAACCGAATTGCACGAATATCGTAGCGGCTGAAACATGGGGTGGTCTGACGCAGTACATTCAGTTGTCTGGAAACATCACAGACGACAGATTCAGCTGGGTCACAGGTGAGTCTTTCGCAAAACCAAATGTGTTTTCGAATGGGGATACGGAAAGTTCAAAAAGCCACGCGACCGGATGCTCACGCCTATCCCTGTAGGCGAAAAGTCGGTTGGAGTGGTGGTTCCTCGACGAGTACTGAACCTTGAACAACCAGAAGAAATCCCTGCAGTCATTAGAGTCCTTGTTTACCGAACCAAAACCACTAAGAGAGATTATCATGGAGTGAGATGTTTCAAGCGCAACTTGGGGTAAGCGAGAAAAGCTACCAGACCTTCCAGGGGGTGTCATCTGTCTAAAAGGCCATACTGGTGATTGCTAATGATTTATGATGTGCGTAATTTTAGTCCCTAATCATACATAGCATATTCACCGAAATCTAAACCTAAGGAGGACGATTTTCGCACATACTCAGGTTTCAATAACATTGTTGGTTTGGAAATCCTTAAGAACCTTCACATTCAAATCAGTTAAAGCCGTTAGCAGTTTACGTGGTACCCACCAACGAAGAATTTTCGCATTAGCATTCCAACCCAAGGTAACCTCAAAAATGTAGATAATTTCGTGCAAACCATTGAAAATTTCAGGAACAGGCGAAAGTGTTCTTGATAACCAAATGCCTACTGGATGAGTGCGGTTTTGTGGAATTCCAAATGGTAAAAGTTTTGTAAATAGGGTTTGTCACGATTGAAGATGTCTCTATGACGACGGGGACCGCACAACAAACTGTAGCAACAATCACTCTACTCTCATGACTCGATTAAGCAACTTACAGAGAGCAGTAAAACAAGTAGAAATACTCACTTGCTGCATACGTTGCAGAATGCTCTCGACAATCTCCGGAGTTGGTGGCTTTAAGTGCGAGTTTATCAGGTAGTAATCGATTACGCACACTCTTTCTTTATTTCCTTGAAATGCAATTGGTGCCCGATAGTCGGAGCAAGTACCACAAAACACCTGACCGTATCAGGGTTGAACAGAGAGAGGGGAGAAAGGAGGAAAAAGGGGGGACAATAGCAACCATCTGCCATTAGTGATATGGAAAAGGTTAAACTGCAATAAAGTGTAAAAACATATTCACGATGCGTAGTGATAATGGTCGCGAGGATCGCAAGAGCTTCCGAAACAAGGAAACCCAATCTGAGTCTTCCCTACGAGAAATGCTGTTAATTTCTCTACTCAAACAGGGAAATCAGTTTGTCAAAGCGACCAGTGACCAAACATTAGTCGTTCTGCTAGCCGATAAGTTTCTGTCTTATTCATTCTGGCCCAGTGGGACACGCATATCCAATGAATGCTGCAAAAGTTGGTTCTCGCTGAGTAAAGTGCCACGCACGCTAAGTGGTACCGTAGAGATGTAAGTTTCCCTCTGTCACGAAATTTGATATAGATAGGTAGATCCATTAGAAGTAGGGATGACCGATCCGAATTTGAGGTGGCTGGATTCAAACACGAAGAAATAACTTCATCAAGACGCTTTTTATAGTAACTGTATCACACAAGTCCTCTATAAAAATGCTGTTCTTGTACTCAAATATCCGTCGTGAGGGATACACCGACAACATGGTTAATGTAATGAAAATTACCTTCCCACATGCACGACAATGATGTCTGCGATTAAACACGGTAAATTCTGCTGAGCATTCAGCACACATCGTTGACTGTTCATCTTTGACCCATTCTATCGCTGAAGATCCACTCACTGGTTCTAAATTCTGAAAGAGAAAAAAATTAGTAGGAAACAAACACGTTGTCACAAGAGTAGCTATAACAATATATAGTGAAGACAAGACTCAAAGCCGGCTTCCAATAAGATCCTGGTGCCAAAAGTCTAGAAAGCTATTAAGTGTGTTCTTAGCGTCACACCGACTATCAGTTTTGTGAAGTAGTGCTTTCCTGACGTCAAAACAAAATAAAGTGATTAACAAGAAGTAGGTCATGAACTTACGGATGTACTCACTGTGACATTCCAAATTTGGAATGTTAACCAGCCATAAGTGGTGTCGGTGGGCTGACCCAGAAGTGCACCATATACAAGGTTCTAAAATGACGTTGGCTCACACAAAGGAATGTAGCGGCTTGCAACATTGACATACGTTGTTCAAATCACACGACGAAACGATTGGTCAAAGTAAAGGGAACGTAAACCTAAATTTGTCGGAAATCAGCGATGAGTCTATTCGGGAGGGGTGAAAATGACCACAAGCACTGGCTCCAGAGTATTATTATTATTATTATGTATTATTATGTATATCATGCACAAACTATACAAGTCGCTTTCTTCCTGTCCTGAACGACAAATTATTTATCTATACAGTCGTGATTCTGAACAGAAAGCAAATCGAGCACATCAGTAGGCGTTTCTGCCCACACGGCCTTTGTAAACCATTCTATCGATCGACTGGCAATAACATAAGATCAATCGATGGAATCAGTCAACCGGTCAAGATCTGGTAAGATTTCCGATTTATTGACCGTCCGTAGGCGGTTGACTTAGACATCTTATTGGTAGACTTTCCCCGATCACGTAGCAAACAGTCACCTTACAGGGCGAAATCAAAAGCAACTGACAAAGTTCCAGTGTCCGCTGGTTGAAGCGCCGGCGTCAATAATGCAAAACTTACATTCATGTGAACGTAAAGTGGAATAAACCGACAAATACAGTTCGGAATCGCGTTACCACCGCAGAGAATGTTCAGCCCATCATGGCAGACCAGTATAATCTACGCGCATTGACGGCTTACTGCCAAAATTAGTTCGGGCGGTTCGTTCTCTTACAACTGCAGCGGGATATGCAGTCGAAAATTTTAGTTTGTCGTGGAAGGAAATTCCGTTTATCGGCAATGTAGGTAGTTTTAAATCTAAGATATTCGTATGTGGGCTCCAAATCGGAAGATTTCGATATTTATTCAAACAACCAATGAATGGGGGTAACAACAATGAGAACAGGTTTTGATTGTTTTCCTATTTTCGATCGTACTCCATATTAGTGAATCGCAGTAACTGAACATATTTTTAATGTACGTCACTTTCAGAGCTCCTGTTTCATGACGAATGAACGCATCTCCCATCAAACAATGGAGGTAAGATACCACCATGCTCGTTGAGCCGGGTCTCTATGACCGAGATGAATATCTGAAAGTCTGCCTAGTCATTCCAACGGTTCTCTTGGACTGATGCCAACGAAGTTGCACTATTCGACCGAACAATATTGCTAAAGAAAAAAGCATCGGTTCTCCCGCGATATTCTACACTAAACTTTTTCTACAAATTCCTCCTGTTGGACAACATTTTCACCAGACCTGGTGCCAACTGCAAAGTTCAATTAGGTGCGAAGGATTTGCATTAAAAAGGCGGAACCCAATGCAAACGCTAAGGCTATTTTGAGGGGAACTTACCTGGTCAGTTGCGTTTACCGATGGGAATACGGAATTCAACTGCCTCAATTCCTGATTAATGGCCGCTTGCAGCTGATTCCACCACTCGGTCTTCTCAGCTTCATTGCTACAGTTGGAAAGTGGGAGATAATGTGGGGAAATTGACGCTGGTTTCATTCCACCCGACGGTATCATGAGAGGATAATGAATTCACTTCATGTTATGTTGATATCCCGAAAGTGCATCCGTGCACATGCGTATTTTATTGTAAAGACTGTAAAGTTGGTGGTGTTAGAGCGGTGCGTAGCGGTTGTTCATACGCCTCAGCCTTGGTGTAGACTAAAGTTGCTTCCTCAGGTAACTAGAGTAAGATCCGCTATTTAGCAAGCTCTGGAAAGGCAGGACTCCTCACTTCGATCCTCTTGAAGATATTTTTCTCACCAATTTCTGAGGTGTTTTCTTCAAACTCTTGACAGGTCTGAGCGTGATGTAATTAAGACGCGAAAATGCTTATGGTTATTTGTGAGCTTTTTTTGACACTTTGAAGTTCAGGTAGCATGCTGCCAAACAACTCTAACCTCTCCCGAAACTTGAAACGTCCCGAACAACTGTTTCTATATCATTCGGAAGCATCATAATTAATGTTCATCCTGAAGATACTGATAAAGATTCCGGCTCAAATCAACCGTCAACAGTACAGTTCATACCACGTGACCTCAAGTCGATTGGCTTGTCGAATGACGAATCCCCGGATCATATGATCTGATGGAATGTTTCCTCTCTTCAGCATACTGCTGGTCTTTTGCAAGCACTGAGGATATTTTGAATCTGAAGTTCGAGTGCTCTGTACACGTCATGCACTACTGAAGCCGCCTTATACAGAGAAAAATGTTGCACAGAGTATCTCGTCTTTTCCCTGTAGGGCTTCACTGCTGTAAACCCATGTCAGTTTATTTGAATAAAGGCTTACACTTGAAGTAAAATGGGACAGAGAGAGGCAATTAGGACTAGCCATCACAACTATCCGAGTTGCCTACACCTAGAACACTCAGACAGTCTGGATAGAAACGGACAACATGGTCGTCACTGATATCGGTTAGCCGCCATATCCTTCAGTGTCGCCAGCCAAGAACAAGGAGTGTTACATGGATCCTGTCCTAGAAGGTGAACTGCACATGTAGACTGCCACAGTCGTGGGCTGTCGGAGTGTTTCAGCAACCTCATGAGCAGTGTGTTATGTCTTGCGATATCTCGAATATCGTATCAACTGGAACATAAGGCGGCCTGGTGCAGCGTAGTGGGCGCGTAGTGAGTGTGGTAACCACACACAG